ATTCATTTTTATGGTTAGAAAGATGAGCGAAAGAATGTAATGTGTTCGAAGTGAACGTCTCGCTTCGATGATTGAGGTGCTGCTTTTCGGTGCAGAACAAGAAGGAAATTAATGAACAAGACAAGTCTATTGTTACGAGTCAATGCCTCCAAGCATTGTCCAACAGCATGCTGACGAGTCTCGTTCCTTTTTATGAATGCCACTTTAAACTCTGATCCGAGAGCTTCTACCAAGTCGATGCCAACCATTGAAATTGAGCATCGCCAATCGAGTTTCCACCAGTAGCATATCATTTCCTTCGATAGAGGTCTTGATGTGAAGTGTAGAAATCTGATAATTCTCTCAAAATTCTATTTGTGGCAACCTCTTCGATAGATTCTTTGAAACGTAGGATGACTACCTCTTAAGAGAAATTGGAGCAGATAGTAGAAGCATGGCAGCTTGAAACTATCTGCTGTTAGATCATTATTTCTTCAAGAGAGGTCAATATAAACAGTCGGAAAGAAGGTATGATCTAATCTATCAGCTTTGAGCGCTCCACTGTTTGCCAGGGCAGTGTCGGGGATTTTTCTCACTCGACATGCGGCGAATAGTATAATTTGGCTCAGATTCCTTCACATGTAGGGGGTATGCCCCCCTACAAGGGCTTACGCGAACCGAAAGCCATGGTGCTAGTGATGACCTTATAATTAAGAAACAGAAGTCTAGCACTGCATAAATGCTATACCAGACCTCATAAAACACTCAAAATATGTTTCTTTGTTTCGATTTTTCAGAGAATTTTTTTCCGATTTTCTAATGTAGCAGAATGTAGTAAATGAATAGAAAAATTATTTATTTGAAGATTTCAAAACTCAAGATTTTTTACTAAAAAAGCAATCGTATATTGAAATCGAGCATACTTCACCTCCTCACATCGATTCTCGTGTTCCAAGATATGAATAAGATGGTCTTGCTCATAAATCAGACGTTGCTTTGCCTGAATCTCCTCTTCTAATTGCTCGATCACATTTTCCCTCATTTTAACCTCAAAATAGGATAATCAAAAAGAAAAAACATTGAAAAAAATTACAGTGTATTCAAAGCCAATTGCGACTCGCCTAATTTTCAGCTTGGACGAACTTGTCGCCGTATTTTTTATCACTAGAAAATAATTTTACGATATCCAAGAGACTGAGGGGCTTTGAGCATAACGTACTGTTCATGATGTGTTACTACGGGCCACCATGCAAATACACGGTTGCCACCATCCATCTGGAAGTATTTTGCATCTTATAATGCGGCTTTTTGAGTATTTTGATACATCCACACTCCATTCCATAACCACGATTTATTTTAACCATTGAGATTGAAATGACAAATGAGTGTCTGTCAATATGTTCGTCAATGGACCCGTTTGGAAAAGCTTTTTGCATACTCTCAAGTGTACATTAGAGCTTTTCTAGTTAGACGCCTGCCACAACATTCGTGTCGTGTAAGCTATCTATCTGAATAGACTAAGAGAAGGAGAACGATCCATGCGTAGTTTCCACTGGGCTCATGCTACGTCGTCTATGAACACCATAGTGTCCATAGCGGGAGTTATGGACTAACCCTTTCCGGACGGCGGTTTACGTGTCTTGCACGTGCGCGATTTCCTTAATAGTGAAATTTCTCGTAATCTTTCAAGAAAACTTGTAATTTTCTTGAAAGAAGAAAAAAAGATTTTTTGTGTTAATTTTGATGCCCATGATTTTCTCTACGCGATTGTACACTGTTAATGCATTTATAACTCTTGACTGCAAAAAGATTTCGGAAGTGAAACGTAGTTTTGTATTCCTCCTACGACGCACTATGCAGATTACCTCAAAAACTATAATTAGCTTGAAAATCGACGAGATTCGTGCTACTAGAAATTATTGGTAGAGTGTGAGAAAAGCCTTCCACAGATCCTAACCGTGCAAACAAAGCACTTTGAGTGTGAAATATAGTTTTTTTCCCGTTACACATCAACTGCGTACTAGGCTCTCTTAAAGCTAGCGCGGTGTAGAGACCGCCTAACTCTACACTTTTAAATGACAATTTAAAAACATGTGTTTAGCGAAAAAAGCCGTTTAAAGAGTTGAGGGTCAAAATGACCCTTATCGGGCGAAAAAGATGAACGGTGCTCCATTTGACGGTTACCGCTTCCTAATGGCAACAACGCGCTTTATTGAACTGCGACGTAATTTATCGTTAGTTATGATATTACGCATAGTCGGAAGGTTTTGGTACTCCCGTCTTGAATAAATCAAAACGTGAACAGTCATGGAACTTATGTGTTAGACGGCGGCAAATTCATAAAACCGAACTCATTTGCTGGACAGGAACTTTTCATAGGAGTGTTAGTAATCATTCGAAAGCTTGAGTCTCTGATTGCAACCTTATTTAGTCGGTTTTGTAAATACCTTTCCATAACGTAAAATCCAGAATAAAATTATGTTTCACACTCGTCTTCCGCCTTCATGTTTATCGCTCGTACAATTCGTGGAAAGCACGAAGAGCAGATCAGCGTGTGGAGAATTTTCCATATTATCATAATCATACGTTTTTTTCTAAAGTTTCTGTCGATACGGTGAAACAATCACCAATTAAATAACAGTATTTAAAGCGCGATCAATCGCCTCGCCTCTTCCCCCTCTCCGTGATTTATCCGGTAGTCAAGGTTGTCGAAGATGTAAAACATAATCGTTCTTCCTATTAAACGTCTAAAAAATAAGCGCAACGTTGGAATCATTGAAACTTACGATACCGATTGATTACTAATAGTCTGGAGAGAGAGCTCTGTTCGGCGAGGTTTGAAGTACAAGATTTTTCTTCCTCTACAACGCCATCAAAAAAGCTTCTTCAGAAAGCAAACGCATTTTTGAGTTCTTTGAAACTTGTGCTGTCGAACTAGTACTAGCATTTGAAAAGAAGTTTGGTCAAGCGACATGTAAACAAGATAAGAAAAAAAACGCGTTGTTGTGAGAAACATAAATTTGTTTTGAATTTTACAGCATCATGAACAAGTGTTAAGAAAACCGACCATGTAGGGATCTAGCCAGAGATTTCAGCTATTAAATGATTACCAACTCTCCTATGGAAAATTCCTGACCACCGAATGAGACTCCGCCTAACATAAAAGTAGCGAGGCGTTTGCTATCCTTTCCCAGTACTCGATGTTGTTCGTCTCTAGCATGCAAAGAGTTCTGTTCGAGAGATGAACGGCGCTGTGACTTAGTGAAACAGAAGATAAAACGAACAAATAGCAGCATATAGTTGAACACATTGGCAGATGATGAGCAATGTGAAGAACGTCATAAAAACAAAACGCAAGCTTTTCACCTTTTCATTTGTGTGTAGCAATTGTGTTTCAAGAGTTGAGAGACGAATGAGGATTTCAGATGACATTTTTCCTGGAAAGACATCAATCAGTGGCTTTGAAACTAGCACGGTCTAAGAAGAAAACGACGAACAAACATTAATAGTGTGCTTTGTTAAACAGAAATTGAGCAACATCACTGTTTTTTTTTTTTATTGGGAGACACGAGGTTGTTAGTAAACCTAACAGCCCTATGTTTGCTCACCAAGTAAATAGTAAATTTACAAATTTAATTTTCATATTATATATACTTATTTTTATTATTTTTATATTATATTTACTTATATTTATATTTTTTATATTATTTATATTTATGTAAATATTTACACGCGCCGTCAAGTGATGAAAATTACCAAACGGGTAGTGTTGTACACTCGATTACTCTTGGCTGTTATTGTGAAATATATTATATCTTTGGTTCAGAGTGTTTTTCTAGACCACACTCCACGATTCCTCTTTGTAAGGCGATTCATCCCGAGAGGGACTGGTTCAGACGAAACTGATGAGGCTGCAAGGCCGAAGCACTTGTATTGCACTGTACAAGTGCCCATAACACGTCACATGCATGGCTCAAAAATAACTGTCAGGCATATTGAAAACGAAGAAATCCGAAGTTTCATCACCAACGCAATAGATGTGGCAGTCACATGAAATCACGCGCCGATCTCTAACTGTTATGAGTCAACAGAATGGCCCATCCCGATTGTCAGAGTTCATGTCTTGAAATGTCTCTTGCAGAAATTTTCACCATATGGCAGTGTTCGATTGCTGATTCGCATACACTACGTTCTAGTTCAACACATCTCTGTTCATGCAAATTGATGTAAACGCGTTTGGTGCGAAGAATCGATACTTTGGCCTCCCAGTAAATAACCAGTATGTTTCGTCTACTCTTATCCAAGGTCTCTTGTCGTGTCAAATTTGAAAGTTGACCTTCTGAAGCCCCTGAAACCTTTAATTTTCTTTTGTGTCTAAGTTCATATCTTCCATATCTTTCATATCTTAAACTTTTGATAACCGGACCAATTTGGAAGCAAAAAAAGCCCATTGAACTTACATAGAAGATGCCTTTTAGCTTACGATTTATCTGTTGTTATCACAAAATCTCACTTGGACTTATATCTTGTTCTAGTGAAAAAAGTGTCCGGCGAATAATCACGAGAAGTTCACATGTCAAAATGATCTACGAGGTCTCCAGAGGGCTAGGATTCAAATTCGCAGAATAACAGGAGAGAAATACAAATTTTTAAGAATTTCCCGTCCATCTAATCAACCCTAGAAGTGGTTGATCAAGAGAGACACGACAGTGTGCTCCAATGCGCTTCTCACTTTTCGAGCCTGCGAATTGGGCGGGAAATCGTTGAAATTTGTCATTCGCTCCTGCTATTCTGCGAATTCGACATTAACCCACTGGAGGCCTCGTGGATCATTTTTAACCCATGAGCTTTGCGTGGTTTGTCGCCGCGCACAGAATTTTTCAATAGACTTTTTTTACTAACACATGATCAATTTTTAAGTGAGATTTTGTGGTAATTGTCATGCATTATAAGTTAAAAGGCAGTCTTTTATGTAAGTTCAGTGTTATACCCATAAATGTGGAGTGCTGTGCAAAAACATTTGCGTCAGCCGGGATTCGAACCCAGATCTCACTCTTTCCGGGACTTACGCTAACCGTTGCACCGCTGACGCTCGTTTTGCACAGCACTCTTTTTGCGCTTTAACGCGTTATCTGTCAACAGGTTCAGTTTCAGTGATTTTTTTGCTTCTTAGTTGGTGTAGTTGTGAAGAAAAGTTCATTTAGCAATATGCAAAAAAACTAGTTTCGTTGTGTGACAATTGAAGTTAGAACAAAATGATTCAACCACTCTTCACAGGTCCATCAAATGGTTGTTTTGATGTTTATTGAACATTTCTCTTAGCGAAAAATCTAGAACTACTTTCATTCCTCTCATTTGAAGACAATCTATCAATAGCCTATAAATCTGATCTAATATCATCGACGTGGCGCATGTGGCGCAGTGATTAGAGGTGCTCTGCGTCGCACACAAGGTCAATGGTTTGATGCCGCGTTCTTGGCTCACCAAGCCATCCATCCCTTCGGGGTTGGTAAATTGGTACCAGACTGGTCTCAGACTTGTCTGGGAGGATAAGCAGCACTGACTCGGTTCAGCGGGAGGCCTCCGCGAGTCATTGTAAAGGCCAGATATGCATTCAATCACCTCAGACGAAGTTAAAAATGGAAGACGAATGCATGGCGCATCCCTCAGGGATTGATCAACGCCGAGAGCTTTATCCTTTATCCCTTGATATCATCCACTATATCGCTTTCCAGGATTCAAAAGCTTTGAAGCGGCTGATCCAGCTTTGATCACTTTTTTCTCACTGTAGATCATTTTGTCTTATCCGGCTTCCGAACGTTTAAATTCATCAGAGAATTCGATCTCACTCCAATTAGCTACTGCATAGAAAAGTTGATAGATCAGAGTTGAATATTCGTCTTCATATATTCTTTGTCTTTCGATCTATGATTTCATAGCCCCCTTCGATCTCATTGATCTTTGATGGGGTTTAGCTGCTACGAACTCTCAGTGAACTTCACTTCCTTGTTTTTAGTTATTGTGAATGCATAACAATTCGCATGACCGACTTCCACTAAATCTCCCCATGAATATTCAAACGATTCTCTTTTCCGTTTGGTAGCACAGATTTCCAAGGCTACCCCCACCTACGCTGGACAAGTTTCCATAAGAGCTATTAGTATGTATTTGAAAGCTCCCTTTACGTAGCCAGTCGGTTTTTTTGAAAGAACTCTTTATACCGCTGAAAAATCAAAAATAGAATTTTGTTCAAGAGTCGCGCATTTCAAATATTGCTTTGCTGGAAGCATGAAAATCACATACACGTGTAGAGAAAGTCTTCTAGTATCATAATCGGACAAGTGATCCAGAATTTGTTCCAAAGCGGAGAAACAATTCCTAATCAGAAGCACCTCACTTAAGCGCCATCAATCGATGTCCGCGCCGACCCCCAATTTACCTCCCCTTTCTTCTGCTCTTCCTCCTCCTCCTCTCACCCACCGTCCGTGTATTGGCCAAAAAACACGTACTCGCGCGCGTGAATCAATCTTATCTTCCCTTCTTTGTAGAGAAACGATCTTTTTCAGAATAAAAGCGTAATGTTGAAACTGGTAAGTTTTTACGCAGTCAAGTGATTACTAATAGTTTAGAGAAAGAGTTCTGTACTGCGAGAAACATGCGCGTGTGAAGCATAATTTTACTTTGGACTTCCCAGCGTTACAAAAGGGTCTTTCCAAAAAATCGACCACGTACAGCGCCAGATTGAGATTTCAGCTTTTGAATGATTACTAACACTCTTTATGAAAACTTCTTGCTTCGGGTAGGGAATAAGCTTGAAAATCTGTGCAACCAAACGGAAAAGTATCCAAAACTATCTTGAAGAAAGAAAGTATGCCACTCTCACGAGTGCTTGGAAAAGAATCCTTGATGAGAAAGTTTTGATTATCTTGAACTGTTTCTATTGCTATCTTTCGTTAACGACGTTCATATAATCACTGCTTTTTTCCTTCTTATCTATCATCTTTGGTTCTTTCTGATTGTAAGGGTCTAAATGAAAAACTGATCTCATTTGCTGGACAGAAACTTTTCATGGAATTGTTGGGTATCATTGGAAAGCTTAGATTTCTGGCTACGGCCCCACGTCGACGATTGTCCAAAACACACCTTTATAACGCTGTAACATTCGAAGCGAAGTTATCCTTCATAGAATCACGTGTTTTCTCTCTTATAATGCTTATATTTCGCTGGGTAAAACTCTTTTCTTAGAGTGCTAGTACTCGAACTTTAGCAGAGCTTCAAAGAACTCGAAAATGTGTTTGCTTTTCAAGAAGCTCTTATGATTTTTTGATCTCCTTTGGTCTTTTGTTATGCTTTGAACGTCGCCGCCACAGAGCTCTTTCTTTGGACTATTAATAATCATGTGATAGCGTAATATCTTCTGATTTTAGCGATGTGCTTGTTTTCTGGAAATTCGGCTTAGCAGGGAAAATAAGATAGAGTTTTTTATTATCAGCAGGTTGTTTGCTATTTGACAAGACAGCGGCCGTGCCAGGTTCGTGGCAGGGGCAGAGTGAGGCGGGGCGATCGACGTATTGTTTTTCAACTGGGAATTTTCCTTTGGCTTCGAAGGAAACTGTAGATTAAACGATTAACTAAAATACTACGAAAATTTCTCTGCACAATGATATGCTTTTCGACTTCCAGCGAATTATATGCATGAAAAAAATGAAAGCGAAATGCGAGTGTGAACATAATTTTTGATCTGGATGGTACACGTTACATAGGGGTGTTCTGAAAAACCGGCAACGTGGGGCCGTAGACTCAAGTCTCAACTTCCCAATGTGTACTGACTTTCCTATGAAACTTGCCCTCCAGCGAGTTTCATAGGTTTTTCATCTATTCCCTCTGATCAGAAAAAACCCATATCTTTCTTTCTCTTTACCTTGAAGTTATTACTCATCCTCTTTCAACAATCTGTTGTTCAACGGCAAAGAAGGCGTTTCCGCTACTACTCACAGAACACCACCAGTTCTTGAAATTCTGAGCGAATCAAACGATCTATTTGTTAAAGAAAAGTTAATGAGAATGACATCGTCAAACCAGAGATCTGGATGATAAACAGATTTTTCAACTCCAGGCAAGCTAAACTCACGTTTCATCTATACTAGAGACGAGAGCTACCAGTAGACGAGCGAGTTCACCACTCTTCTACCACTCTCTCTTCCATGTGAACACCTTTTATTGGTGAATCGTAAGCCACTGCAAAGTTTAATATTAAAGATTAAATTTTGCCAAGTTCATTATGACAACGAGAAGGGCTCTCTATTGTATCAAAATAGTTTTCTACTGTGAATCAGGCAAAATTATTTCAAGTTCACTAGTCAATAGAGTGCGTGTAGGTCAGTGGTGGAAGGTGCTCTACAGTACAGAAGTGGTAGTTAGGTCTATGCGGCTCCCGTGGCTTATCGAACCTTTTATTCCTCTGGGGTTGACAAATTGATCGAAAACGGTTAGCAGCACTTATTTAGGACATAGTCATTGTATAGACCAATTATGCATTTTTTGCCTCTGATAATACTCAGTGGAATCAAATGCATAGCCGCCCACTCAAATGCACCTAAGGACTGATCAATGTTGACTGCTTTAGAGTTTCTTATAGTAAGAAATAGTGGTTAAGCTAAGCAAAACTTGGCTCCCAGATTGCTTCTTCTTGATCCTGGTGTACTTTTCACGTCTAAATCATTATTCTATACTTAGTTTCTTGAATGGAGCGCTGGCCGAGTGGTTAGTAATGGTTTTAGGAGCAATGCAAGTTTGACCCCGTCTCTTAACAGCCTCTCACAATCAGTCAGTAAACGTCTTACATAAGGCCTCAGGTTATTTCCTTCAAAATCACAAGGAGACCTGCCTGACCAGCATTCGATGCTTTCCACGAAGAAAACGGAATCCTCACAACTCCCGAAACAATGCGCGAAATGTTTGGAAACTTTTTGCGCCCGGACTGCATACAAGGAAACGAATGCAATAAGTGCTGGGGTACTCACAATGAAATGTGATAACGGGCAGTATAAATTAAAATAAGAACTAGAGAAAGTTTATTTTTGGGCGCCGTGGCCTAGTGGTTGTGATGATCGTCTCGGTGCGCGCGTAAGCGAGTTTCATCCTTCAACACTCTCCGGCAGTCAACAACAAGGCCCTATGGAACGCCACAGCTAGGTTGTCCTCGAGATTGCAATGAGGCATACTCGACCAGTATTCTATGTCATTCAAGAAGAAGTAGGAAAAGCGAATTGAATGCTAGCAGTTTTGGGATCCACACAATAGAAATTATGATTACGGGTCGCGTGTAAATGAAATAAATAAGTTTCTACTAGAAGTCATTGTTAGAGGTGAATTTGGGATGACCTGACGCTTTTAAAAAGCTTCCTTGTATTTTAGTGGGGTAAACAACAATTTGCAGTCGTATCCATTTAGTTGCCATTTGGCTAAATTCTCATTACGTCGTTAAAAGAGCCCGAGATTTTTTTTATTGGTCAAGTCTGCTGGTAACCTTGAGGTTGGATATTTGGTTCACTATATAGAGCAAGCTATGGGTATTACACGAGTAAGGTTATTCAGTTTTATCTGAACATGACGCAGTGGTGAAAGGGGATAATGGAGAGACGATGTGGAGTCTGATAAAGCAGCTTGTACACCAAGCGTTTTTGAAGGTTAGGCTTACAGGCAGACTAACACTGAAGTTTTTGCTACTTTCTTTCTTTCCATGAGATGCTATCAGCTACAGTAACCCTGTTCCTAGAAATGGTACAAATCTATAGTTGATAAAAAAAGAAGCACAAGTTAAACTATCTCATAATTGCTATCTGAGCCAACTTGTCGTGTGGTCTGTTAAATGGGCTCTTGTACAGCCGAAAACAGGTGTTTCGACCTTAGTCTCATCAGTCGAGCAGAACCCTTCGTCTTTTAGCCAGTGCTCTGAGGGTGTTCTAGTCGTCGCTAACCTTATTGTGGGGACTGGAGCACCCTCAGGGCATTGGCTAAAAGACGAAGGGTTCTGTTCGACTGACGAGAGTAAGGTCGAAACGCCTGTTTGGGGCTGTACAAGAGCCCATT